GCCTGTGCTCCTCCTCTACAGCTCACGTCTCATCTTCTTAGGAGGACTTTCTAGAAGGGGAGCAGCTCAGCCAAGAGAAGGAACAAGAGCAGCAGAGAAACGTGGACTTGGAATATGGACCTTTCTAGGGGGAGGGAGAGTCTGCCTACTGGGTGCCTGGCCTTGGTCAGAGCTGAGGGTCACCAGGGATGGCTGAGGCTCTGTTTTCATGACCTTGGTTCATGTACCCTTGCTCCCAGCTCCAGCCTGCTTCTCCCCCGGTCAGTCACCTCCCACTGTGGCCATGTCACTCCCTGCTTACACCCATCCTGACTTCCCAGGGCCCAGAGGTCAACCCTAACTCCTGACTGCTCACCCCCGCCTATCTCTCTGGCCGTATTTTTTTGTTTCTTACAACCCCAAACCTCATCACCCCAAACTATTTGGGTTTATTGGGCAACGCTCTCCTGTTTCATGCATGGTTCTCTTTACCTGGAATACCTTTGCCTTCCACACTCACCTGTTGGACACCATTTTGTCAAAGACACCTCATTAAGTGACTCCCACAAGAGCAGGCAAAATTTGCCTCTGTACATATGTCTACAATAGTCCTCAGCACACTCCACTGTGATCGTGTGGTTATGTGTCTTTCTCACCTGCTAGATAGTGAGCTCCTCAAGATGAGGCCAGGTCTAACTCATCTTTGGTCCCCTGGCCGTCCGCCAGTATCTTTATACCAGTTTGCCAAAGAAGAGAATAAAGCAATGCTCTCCTCCCTAAATGTTTTCCTTCCTGCCACACTTCTGTCTTTTCCCTATGACGGGAGCGAGGGAGGCCAATCTGCCTCACCTCTGGTCCCTTCCACGGCCAGCTCCACGCCAGCCCCGGTTTCTGACCCACGGGCTTCTGGCCTTTGCTGTCTCTGCTGTTCCTGCTCAGTTTCCATTCGGTTCCCGCATCCCTCGTCTATCCACGTCCTGGCTGCTCATTTCTGACTCTCTGGCGCCTCCCACTCTGCTTCAGCCCTGATCGGAAGCAGCGCGTTTGCCACAGGACGACTTTTCTGAGTGAACTCTGTGCCCCTGTGTATTGTCAGTCACTAGACATAAACTTAGGGGAGGAGACACTTGAAAGACACTTGACCATTTCTACACACCCTTTGGGGGTCTCATCTGTCCCGCCCGCGCTATGTGAGGATAAAGAGAAGGAAGGATTGTGCGAACCGAACGAGTGTGTGAGTGAACAAGCCCAGCTGTGTGCGGGTGCTGCTGTGGACATCACCTCGGTCCAGCCCATGGGCTCGGGTGACCCAGTCCCAGGGAACGGGGGAAGTAGGCCAGAGCAGGGCTTTGCTGGCAGATACAGAATAGACAGTGGCCCATGCTGTCAAAGGCCAGAGAGAATAAAAGGTAGTCCCAGGATGTAGCAAAGGATGGAGAGTGGACTCGAGGCCAGAGAGGCCTGACTTGTAACCTTGACTCTGCCCCTTATGAACTCTGAGTACCTTGGGCAGCTTCCTTCTTCTCTACCATTAGCCTCCCCCTCTCTCGAAGGGGACATAGCCATGCCTCCCGAATAGTACTGAGAATTTAGTAAAATAATGTGCACAGAAACTTGACTCCTCACTGTACCAGCTATATGGTTGTTAGGAGTAGTATGTGAGTGGTTAATTTTTCTTAGAAGTGTGGTTTACTTTTAGAGCGTGTTGTTGTTGGGGTATTAAAGTTGTATAAGGAATTACAGATAAGCACCCAGTTACATTAATAAAGAAATATATTTGCATATAAAAGGTCCAGGAGCTCTGTCTCTCCAGGCCTGCAAGAATGCTAACTTCGGGTGCCAAACGGATTCCCTGGGGTACCCCGGTGCAGCTAACTGTAAGTGCAGGGAAAGGAGGAAGGGAATTCATGCACTCCGAAGGACTCTTTGCATTCCTTACTCTAAAACAGAGATAGAAACATTTCAGCAGCTATGGAGTAAACTGTCTAGAAATCACCTCCCCGATAATTTCTTTTGAGCTTACACTACATGATAGGGTGCCCACTGCTCTTCCTCCCCTACAAACCTACTTCCGTAAATACTGAAAACACACACAAGGTGTTAAACATTTTTCAAGTTTTCTGAGATGCCATGAAAACTATCAACAAGCACTGACTTAGAATTTACCCCTGGGTCATTCTGCGTATTTTTTTTCCATGTGAAACCAAATTGAGGAAAAGCTTTTAAACAATCTGAACTTATATCCTGCTTTAAATTCATGCTGTGGGACTTAAACAAAATTGGATCCTTTACCTGCCCCTGAGCTGCAAAAATACTATTTATTTTTCCTGCAAATGGACCATATATGAAGGTAAAACAAATGTCTTTCTGCTTGAGATATGTATATGTAACTTTTTTTTCTCCTGGCCAAATTCCCAAAAGCCAAACATCTAACAGAATGACTGATATCAGCCTTGTCTGAAAAGAAAAGAAAAGAAAAGAAAACTTTACATCTTGTCAAGCAGAAATCAGGAGATCTGGATTCTAGACTGTTTGAACCATGACCTGGCCGTGGGACATGGGGATTCTCTCTAGCTCTCTGTTCGTGGTCCCTGTTCAATGAACTGGGGGTGGGGGGGGGGGGTTGCTCAGGAATGGGAGAGGAGTCGGCCTGAAATCCCATTTGGCTCTAGAAATGTATGACTCCAGATCAAAGTATGGGTAAACAATTACAAGATCCTATTCTGAAAAATATTTTAATACTGACTCAAAACACGGGTCCCGAGAAATCCTCTGTAATGCCCTCTTTCAAAGGAAAGCCCCCAATTTCTGATTCTGACCTGAGGGGTGTGTAACTTGGGTCCCTCATCAATCCCTTTATGTAGTAATATCCCCACCTGCTGGAACTTTAGGTTTTTGCTGCTAAAGGTGGGAGGTGTTTGGTAAAGGTTCTCCAAGCTGGGTTACCTGAGGAAGGTTCCTCTTCCACGTTGTTCCTTCGTGGAGGAGGCCAGAGCTCTGGTACTGAGCCCTTTCTTCCTGCCTGTTAGATCTTATGGTGGGGCTGCCCTGGGCTCCGGGAATGACAGAAGCTTCCAGAAACGGGCACTCAGTGCTCATCAGAATTTCCACTTTCCTGAAAGATGATCCTTGGCTTCCTCCTCAGAGCCCCGGTCCCAGGGATCCAGTTAACACCCCTTGGACTGGAGCTCCTTAAAAACGGAACCCGGAGTCTGACCATAGCATGGGTTTGGTGTGGTCAGAGCCAGGCCAGGGGGTGGAAGCCATGGGAAAGCAGGCCCCCACCAGCCCCCCTGCATGGGGCAGCCCCGAATTGCGTCAGTGGTTTCCTTAAATCCGTATCTCCAGGTGAGGGACTCACTAGGGGTTTTAGGGAGCTCAGGCTGACTCTTCAAGACCGGGGGCCTAAGATCTCATTCCAGAATTGGAGAAGCCAGAGGCCTGGGTTTTCTGTTCTGCCTCTGCTCCTGCCTTGGGAGAGTCCACCTTCCACTGAAAGCCTCTGAAAACAGGTGATGGATGGACGGCCCACCTTTTATGTCCTACGATTCCTATGTGTCTCCCACGTTCTTCTGCACGTCGTGTAAAGTCTCCCATCTGTGGAGCCGTCTCTGCTGAGCCAGCTCACTTTCCAGGTCCATCACCCATGAAGATACTTTTGGGGTCCTGACTGGAGACTGCAATGAAAAGCTTAGAGCTTTGCATCAAGGCCACCGTCTGAGCTCTGGGCTCCAGGGAGGGTGCAGCCTCTTCAGGGCAGGAAAGAACGCCCTCATTCCCTGGGGAGGGGTTGTCCCGAGCTGACATCAGCCTCTTGTGGTGCAGTCCAGAGACTCCAGGGCCAAGTGGATACGATGCCCTGCCCCCATGCTCCCCACCCATGCCTGTGGGAGCCCCACACCACTGTGGCTCGGCCCCCCACACTGCGCCCTCAGCCTCACAGCCCAATTCCATTGCAGAGCCCAGCCAGCCGGGCCCAGAGAAGCCAGGTAAACAGTAATGAAAGCGTCCTTTTTCGGCAACCACCACCTCTTCCCAGGCTAGCACAGACCTCCCCTCTCCTCTCAAGTTGGCTGAGGAATAGTTGCCAAAGAGTTCCTGACAGGAACCCCCTGGTATGTGGGCAGATCTCCCTCTCAAAGGTCATCTTTCCACTGTTCCTCCCTCCCTGCCACCCCATCAGGAATTTTTTATTTCACAGAGCTAAATACCACAGTCCTTCTCAGCTACGTTGGCAGCCTTCCATCAGAAAGCAGTCAACACACAGAGCCGAAGGCAGCACCCCAAAGACAAAGTACAGTGACCAGTCCATTAGATAAGCGTGACTCAGATCTATCACAGATGTCCTAGATCACAGCCAGACTGCCTTCTTTTGTCTTCAAAACTCTCCTTTTGGCTCCTAGTGAAGCCCACCAGGTCTCCTCGTCTAGCCAGGACACTCCCAGTTAAACCCTTGGCTGCCCTAGAAAGGGGCTAAGGACAATGCTAGAAAGACTGTACCACATAAATTGTTTTGTGGATTCTAGCATCTAAGGTAAGGTGGACGTCATGAGTCCAGGGTAAGCATAAGCATACTTTGTCCTCAGGTATGGCCACCACTTTAGAGTGACAAAGTGCTATCACATACATTTTTCCTGTTTGATCCCCCCCTTTTTTTTTTTAAAGATTTTATTTATTTATTTGGGAGAGGGAGAGCACGAGCGGGGGGCAGGGGGAGTGGGCAGAGGGCGAGGAAGAAGCAGACTCCCCGCTGAGCAGGGAGCCCGACTCGGGGCTCGATCTCAGATCATGACCTGAGCTGAAGGCAGATGCTTAACTGACTAAGCCACCCAAGCTCCCCTCCTGTTTGATCCTGAATCCTACCCTGGGAAAGAGAAGGCCAGAGGAAATAGGAGGCAAGTTCAAGTTTCAGGAGACCTTGGAAAAGGACGCTACTTAGGAGAGAGGTCTCCTTGGTCCTGCATGACTGGGATGGAAGTACCAGAACCAAAGGTCAGCCTTAGGGTCCAGTGTGTGAACATTCAGTGGCATGGGTCCCGGAGTGTCACAGCAGAACCTGGGTGCAGGTGCTCTTTCCCCAGGCCCAGTCCTCCTAGAGAGCCAGGTGGAGCACAGATGCCCTAGAAGGGGATAATCTGCTCATGGCTTCACCCGGAACGGCAGCATTTCAGAGCCCAGCAAATACTATATGCTAATATTTTGTTAAACTTGGCTAGGAGACTCATTCTTCTCTGACAATCTCTCCAAGGTTCTACGTGTAGCCCTTGGGGGGGTAGGGGGAGAAACCCTAGAAAACAGTGTCGTAACTAGATAGGCTGGCTTCTCTTGTCAACATGTTAGGGAGAACACTCGTTGGAAAGACTGCCATTTTTAGACCTGGTGCTCTGCCCAGTAATGAGATTCCCTAGCATCACTGCTCAGTCCATGGCAAAGGAGGAAAACCAAAGGGATTCTACACTTTCCCCATGTAAGCACCAGGGAAGTCAGCTTGTCTGAACTAATGTATCACACAGAATAATAATATTCAACACTCACTGAGTCCTAAAACCACGGTCCAGGCACTGTAATAAGCACTTTATGTGAATTACCTCATTTAACTCTCACAGTGATCCTATGAGGTAAGGATCCCTCTTACCCCATGCTATAGATGAGAAAACTGAGGCGCAGAGATTATTTAACTAGCCTGTAAGGCCACCAGGAGGCAGTCTGCCTCCAGATCATTCCAGACAACCACTGGGCTTATACCACACCCAGAAGGGTGGATTGTGTCCCTGGAGTATAGCTGTCTCTTGCTGGGCCAGCAGAGCCTTGAAACAGGGAGGGAGCTGCTCTAACATGGGAGCCCTGGCCCATGGCTCCAGCCTCCCGTCCCCCAAACGTGTGGGGCTGCTCGGATGTCAGTTGCCACAGAATCCAGTGACCCCAGTAGAATGTCCTTACCGGCATCCCCCGCTCGGTCCCCTTTGTCTCCTTTCTCTCCTTTTGGGCCTCGGTCACCTGACACAGAGGAGGAAAACTGGCATTAGAAGTGGAAACGAATCCTGACCATGGATAAAATATTATCTGCAAGAGATGAATCAACCCAAACCCAAGACCTGAGAAACTCTCAGCTGGCAGAGCAGGAAAGATAAGAGCTTGAGTCAATTACGCTGCATGTTTTGGTCATCCCAGGAAGGAGGTCAGGGGGTTCCCTCCTAATTAAAGTGTAGAAGAGCAGCATCTAGAGTACGTGGTATTCAACAGGAAGACGACGGGGCGAAGATATTCCTAGTAAGCAGTCAAGGTTTCAGAAGTGCACGGCCAAGTTTGCCCTAATAAGCACAAGAGGAAAACATGGCGGGAGGGTCTTCAGTGACTTCGGGATGACAGAGGTTATATGTCAGGCAAATTTACCGGGGCGGGCGGGGAGGGGTGTTGCGGGGAGGCTAGGAAACATGAGGCAGAGCTTCCGGGGAAATTGTAAAATTTCCTTCTCAGGATATGGTGGAAAGAACAGAGCTCTTTTTCCAGCTAGCATCTTGTGCTACAAAGAAGTAGAAGGTCCTGACACCACTCCAAGGGGCAGTAAAATGACCAGGGAATTCTATTCCAAGTACCTCCAGAAAGATATCTGCAAGTCAAAAGCCTATGGCCTATTGTCTGGTGAAAAAAAGCAAGCCAGCAAGTTCCAGGGAAGGATGCCTAATGTGATCCAAGTTTTGAAAAAAAAAAAAAAATACCCCAAGGCAATCATATACATAAATATGAATATGCTTAGAACAAGATCTGGCAGGATGTGCCCCAAAGTGTTTACAGTAGTTACTCTAAAGACTAACAGCTTAAGGGACTAAGGGGGAGGGGACTCCCTTTTTAGTTTATAACTTACGTACTTCTGTATTGTCAAATTTTTTCAACAAGCATGTGCTGCGTTTGTAGTCTGTTTTAAAATCATTTTTTAAAAAATGTCGATCATAAAAGGGAGGAAAACCTCAGCCTGTTCAATCACTAGCAAGTAGCCTAAAAGTTCCCAGCGATCTAAGACGCAGAGACCCTCCTAGACGGGGTGGGAATGATTAATAGTACTTTTCCTTCGTTTTCATTTTCACAGGTGAGGAGGTTAACACGGGGGAACCAGCACCCGATTTCCTCATCTTGCCCCGCAGTTACGGTAGAAGTCTGCACGCTCTTGAAGAGAATGTGGAAAGCCAGGGACTGACTAATAACGTGGATGCCCCTAACAATGAACAAGGTGACTGCCATCAGGAAGAAAACCAGTTCAGCAGGAACACTATTGGAGTGGAAATCTGAGAACTGAATTAACGTTTCAAATATGGGGGGAGTCAAAAGCATGGGATGGACTGTTGGGAATCTAGGGGTCCGGGGAAGGAGGTGGGTGTCCTGGGTCTGCAGCCCCTTGTTTCTCCCGCGAGCCTGTTCTCCCAGCCTGGCTTCCCCTGGCTACACCACTGAGCCGCAACCCCCAGGGACACCGCTTTGCATTTCTGCAGCAGTGGAGAGCTGACAGAAGGTCAACGTGACCCGTGTAATCCTCATGACAGCCCTGTGAAGAATGGTATCATGAGGATTTCCGGGTTTGGGACAGAGAAACTAAGGTCTGACAAGGCGAAGTGGCTTGTCCAAGGTGCCTGAGCTAGCTGGTCGGTGGCAGAGCCAAAAGGCAAACCCTGTCCATCCACTCCAGTGTCCACGTTGGTGCCAGGGGCTAGTGGTGAGCAAGGCTACATGGGTGCCCGGAGATTCGTTATTACCTTTGAACCCGCGCATGCCCATGGGTCCCGTGGCTCCCATCTTCCCATCATCGCCCTTGGGGCCTGGCAGTCCTGGGGTGCCTCTCTCCCCTGGCAGCCCTGGGAAGACAGAGGACAAGTTGTGGAGGCTCAGACTCAGAACTGGAAGGGCCTCTGCAGGTCATCATCTGGCCCAGCAGTCCACCTCAACCAGGCATCCCCCTGCAGCTTTTCCTTCCTGATTCTTCTCAGTTAACTTAAAGATGCTGCAAAAGCAAGTGTCCAAAAGGTTAGCACAAACCTTCCCCAGAGGCACCTTTTATCTAGTTAGGCTGGACCCCTTCCCGCCCCGCCGAAAGGTCCAATCCTATTGTGAGTGATGGTGGTGGTGCCCACTCCATTTGGGAGATGTCCCTTTACCTCCAGCTATGCTGGAGGTTTAAATTCAGCAAACTTTTTTTTTTGAGTACTTTCTATGTGTCAGATACTGTTCTGGAGTCTTCTCATAAAGCATCTCATTTTATCCTCACAATAAACTGAGGTATTATTTCAGCTATGTTACAAAGGAGGAAACTGAGGCCCAGAGAGGTTAAGTAACCTGCCCAGGGTCACGCAGCAGAGAGGGATCTGAGCCCTGGCCTTCCTGAACTGAAAGCCTGTGGTCAGTCAGCTTTGTCTCAAGCTGGATGAAAAGTGCTTACTGGCATTTAGGGTAGGAGGAAGATGAAGCACCTCCCCATCCTCTTTAAGAAAAAAGCCACGAAGATCCCTTCCATGCTGTACATCCAGGGAGGTATAGCTGAGGAGATCCCAGGCTGAGGAGGAGGGAGAAAGTCAGCAAGGCCAGTGAATGGGATGGATGACCTGCTGGCAGATCAGGCCGCAGGGCTCCTGGCCACGAGGCCCCGTGGCCACTGCCTGCATTTGACCATGGAGAGCCAGAATCAACAAACGCTTTCACCCAGTGAGAGCCTGGCCCCCCCCACCCCCCCGCCCCCCGAGGCCTGACCTAAGCCCACAGTTATCTCTGTAAACCAAAGAACTCTTAATTAACTGATTACTTGTTCTTTCCTGCTTTGGATGTGAGTTGGCTTTCTCTGGTCTTTTTCCGTGACTTGGAAAAACCTGTCTTCCAGTTATTATTTCTCCAGGGCTAACATCAAATGTCTGGAAGAGGACGCGTGGCCCCAGAGGATGGTGGGACCTCAGAGAAGGGCTGATTGGTTTCTTTTTTTCCTGCCTAATGCAAGGTACCTGCTTGGAGTCCAACCGCCTAGTTGCCGCAGAATTCTAAATCTAATATGAGATATGCCCAGAGCTCCCCATCGTACAATTTAATAAGGCAGAAAAAATGCTTTCACAGCTCTGTGAGTATCTAGGCATCCTCGGTTCTGAATGTGGGGAGTTCCCTTGGGGGGGAGCCAGGAGTGGAAGCCGGGCTGTGGGCTCTCCTTCTACTAGTTTCTGCCCTCTCTCCTGTTCGCAACCTCCTCGAGACTTAGGAAGCGGATGGTTTAGAGGTGTAATTCCTGACATTAACAGACATCTTTCCCCGAATAAACTCCTCCTTTTCTTGCATTGTTTAGAAGGCTTTGCATTCTTCTAGAAAACTGCTGCTCACAGCAGAGACTCAGAAGTGAACAGACTGGGATGCCAAGTTTGATAAAGTCACAGGACAGGAACTTCTGAGACAATGAGTCGAAGAAGAACGCCCTCTTTCCAGAAGGCCAGAAGCTACCCTCCCCACCAGCCACTGGATCTTCAGAGCTGTCACTAGTCTGTTCATTGATCTGGGCAGAATCAGCAAGGAGGAGGGAGCATCAGGGGTCTGCTGACTCGGGAAACACTGAAGAGGTAAAACATACTTGCAGAACACCTTCCATTCCTTCTGAAGGCCTTGGTCACATGAACCCTGACTCCTGGGGTGGGAAGTGGCTTCAGGGAGCTGTGAGCCTCTCGTGCACCCCTTTCCTTCACATCCTGGTACTTTCTATCGAGAAGTATTTGCTCCATCCTATTGTTATACCTACAACCTATCAGTCTTTTGACAGAACAGGGCATTTGAAAATAGGTTGATTGGGCATTCTCCCAGGGAGCCCCACCACATATCAAGGAGAAAGTAGAGGGCCAGGGAAGGATTGGGGGCACCCTCCCCTTCTTGGTATGCGCAGCTTCCTCCCGGGGCTTCCCAATCACCTCGAAGTCCAGGTAATCCAGGGATCCCAGGCTCGCCTTCCTTCCCTTCATCTCCCGGATCACCTTTGGGGCCCGGTGGTCCTGAAAGGGTTACAAATGGCACCAAAGTTAGCAGGTAGCTTTCTGGAACAGGATACCTGCAGAGGCAACAAAAACTCCCTCTTAAAGAGAGGAAGAGTCAGCATTATGCTTTGGGAGCACACAGCCCAGTCTTGTATGGGTGCAGGGGGAATCAAGGAAAGCTTCCTGGAAGAAGTGATATCTAAAGTGAAATCTCAAGGAGGAACAGAAGGTGGCTAAGTAAAGGGAAGACTGAATATCTCTGATCCACACCCCCTCCCCACAACAAATGCACACGCCGAGGCCCTAATCCTCAATGTGATGGTATTTGGAGGTGGTGCCTTTGGAAGTGGTCGGGTTTAGATGAGGTCGTGAGGATAGGGCCCCCAATAAGACACACCAGTCAGTACTCTTGCTCCTTCCTTCCCTCCCTCGCCATGCTTGGGGTGCTCTTTCTCCCTCTCCCTCTCCCTGCACCATGTGAGGACACAGCAAGAAAGCAGCCACCAGTAAGCCAGGAAGAGGGCTCTCCTCAGAACCCAACCGTGCTGGCACCCTGATCTCAGACTTCCAGCCTCCAGAACTGTGAGACATAAAGGTCTGCTCCTTATGCTGCCCGGGCCATGGTATTTTGTTATAGTAGCCTGGACTGATTAGACAGAATGAAAGGGAGAGTTCCAGGCAGAGAGGACAATCCCTATAAGAGCTTAAAGAAAGAGATATGTGAGCTACCGTGGGATTAGAAGCTGGGGACACATGATAGGACGAGAAGGGTGAGCAAATGGGGGTCTTGGAGGCCTGGCCCAAGTGTTGGACTTGACCCTGAGGGCTTCCGAAGCGGCAGCGGGGCCTGAGGGAAACACGAGTGTGATCAGATCTGCACACGAGGAAAATGGCTCAGGCTGCCATGTTGGAAAGTGGCTCAGGATGGGAGGCCATGAGGAGGCCGCACTCCGAGTGGGAGGCGGCAGAACCCTGAATTAGGGAAGTGGGGGCCTGGAGGGGTGTGAGTGGCTGTGTGGAGGCAGAACAGACAGACCTTGGCTAAACGTAGGTGAAGGTGGGGGAGAAGACCAGGATCATGTCCAGATTTCTGGCTTGAGCACCTGATGGGAAGAAGGGGGCGTCTAATTGCTCCTGAGCGGGGCTTTCTTCCAGGGCCAGACTCCACTGTGGCAGGGATTCCAGCCTATGTGACTGGATTCAGTCCCCACAACGAGGCTGGGTGTTGAAGTTACTTGTCTGAGGCCACACAGCCGGGTAGTGAGAAAAGGAGTGTAGGTTCCAACTCCGGTCTGTCTGGTCCCATCCCTGCTGCCTCACTTGTCACACAAGATGGCTCCCTGTTCCCAAAACGCAGTTAGACCTTTCCGCCCCCCAGCCTGCTGCCCGCCGGATCAATCTCCTATGTTTTCCTGTCCCTAACCCCACCCCACGTGGCTCATGGCTGCCTCCCGGCCAGAGCTTCTCCGAGCCAGCGTCCTGCGGAGGGTGGGCACAGCCCACCTGAATGGACATACATGGTGCCATTTGACACTTATCTCTCACCGCCTTGTCCTCCACTCATAGCTGTACGTGTTCTTTCTTTCCTAACAAAATTGCCAGCTCCATCCTTGACACCCTTGACCCAGCTGTGAAGATCCAGACGGCAAGCTCCCCACTCCTGCTGTCTTGTGACAGAAAAAGAAGACCCAGAAAAATGCCACAACCATAGTGCAGTGAATTGAAGAGCGTCCCTTCAAAATTCATGTCCACTTGAAACCTCAGAATGTGACCTTATTTGGAAATAGGGTCATTTGCAGATGTTATTCGTTAAGAGGGGGTGATGCTAGAGCGGGGTGGGTCCCAACCCAATGCAGGGTAAGTCCTAACCCAATGCAGGGTGAGTCCCAACCCAATGCAGGGTGGGTCCTAACCCAATGCAGGGTGAGTCCTAACCCAATGCAGGGTGGGTCCTAACCCAATGGCTGGTGTTCTTAGAAGAAGATAAAGCACAGACAGACACACAGGGAGAATGCTATGTGACAAGGGGGGCTGAGTGTCTACAAGCCAAGGAATGCCAAGGATTGTCAGCAACCAACAGAAGTTAGGAAGAGGCCAAGGAGAATTGTGTCCTGGAGCTTACAGAGGGAACATGACCCCGGGGACACCTTGACTTCGGACTTCCAGCCTCCGGCATGGTGAGAGAATCAATTTCTGTTGTTTTAAGCCACCCGGTTTGTGGTCCTTTGTTATGGCAGCCCTAGGAAACCAAAACATGCACACTCACAGCATAGCAGCAATGGATTGCACAAGAAATATTTGGTGAATGAATGAGATCAGAGGGTGTTAATACATACAAAACAACCAGGCAGCCAAGATTGAGATGTACTGATACGTTCCAAAAGTTGGCACCGTCCTCAGACCCTAACCCAAGTTGACAGCCGTTTAATGACTCCATGGCACATACACAGGGAAAAAGCAATCAGCAACTTAAAAATGCACACATAACACACAAATCATTTAAAGGGGACCAGGTTCTGTGGCCATCTTCCTCTCTTCTATGAAGAAAAGCAAAGTGAGCCTGGCCATAGTGATCCTAGTTTTCAGATGACAGCGTTAAGACACACCTCAGATTACACAGCAAAGGAAAGGCATGGTGGAAGGAGCAGATGAGCTTTACACCCCCATTCCAGCAATCTCTCTGTCAGGTCAGAGCGGCAGCAAGGGAAACTGGAGGTTTCCCTTGCTGCCTGGATGTCTGCACTGCACGAGTTGTCCCTGGGAAGGATGTCCTTCTCCCTGTGCCCAGTACACTCCCCGCCTTGTCACTCTTCTTTGTCCCTCCCCCACGTGGAACTCAGTGCTTCCAGAACATGAGCGGGTCAAGAAGGCAATGTACTGAACACTCGAATTTGTTCTATTTGCTCTCCTGTGGGCGTGACTCAATGTATGGATCTTCCCAGGAGTAATTCTTGCAAAGGGAGGAGGCTGCCCAGGGAATGGCCCGGGTGGTGGGGCATCAGGGCGGTGTAGATCATTTGGAAGGTAGGCACTGGCTATGGATATGGAGTGTCTTGGGCTCAGGTCCTGGTTCTATAAAATCTAAGTTAAAGTTTTCCCCCAGACATCTGAGGAGTAGGTGGATTACATGACATGCTGGATATAAAGGGGCTTGGTAACCTTTGAGTGGCAAGGCCATCCTGACCATCTGCGCCCCCTCCCCCCCCCCATAAGCCTTCACCAGAACTATCCCAAGATCACCATGTATAGTCATTCTGAGCTGCCCCTGAAATCACCTCGCCAAGCTTGGCTGGCTCATTCAGGGAGACACAGGTCTGGAAACGTCCTACACGTGGGTAGAGTTTTTAAGACACAGATGAGCGGTTATTAAGGGCCTTTACTGGAGATGAACTGGGAGGAAGGCAGAGTGGACAGTACAGGTGTGTGCTGATTTCCAAGCCTTTGTCCTCCCCTTAGATGGAACTAGCCCCGCAGACTCAGAAGGACCTAAACTGTGGCCTGTGTGAGTCTCATGGGGCCAGGCTGCCGGGGGCTCCGACGACCAAGCGCTTCTTCGAATCGCTGCTGCCTGTGGGGAATGCACACTTGCGGTCTGACTTTTTATCATTTTCCCAGGAACCTAGGCCAAAAATCTTGAGCTTGCTTTGACTGCTCCCTTTCCTCTGTACCCCATACCCCCCTTGCTCACCAAGGCTCATCATCGAGGTGATTCCCATGTCATGTCTCTACCTCCTTCCTCACGGCTACCACACTCATCCGGGTCTTGCTCCCAGCCTTTTTTTTTTTAAGATTTTTATTTATTTATTTGACAGAGAGAGACACAGCGAGAGAGGGAACACAAGCAGGGGGAGTGGGAGAGGGAGAAGCAGAGTTCCTGCAGAGCAGAGAGCCCGATGCGGGGCTGGATCCCAGGACCCTGGGATCATGACCTGAGCCGAAGGCAGACGCTTAACGACTGAGCCACCCAAGAGCCCCGCTCCCAGCCTTTTTAAGGACCTCCTTGTCTGCGGTCTCTCTAAAACCCATTAATCTCGTCAGAATCGAGTGAACTCACAGTCTCTGAGGTCCCTTATAGCACAAGGGGTCACAGCCCCTCTATCAGAGACCCCTGAAGATCATTCCCCACCTGACCCCTTCCGCAAACTCACAGCCTGATGCTTCTGGACACAAGCTCCCTCTCTCCTCAGCAAAAACATTCTCATATGTCCCCAGACATCCGCCAGATCTTTTCCTTTCCAAGAGCCCTGTCCCCCTCAGGCCTGACACTCACCTCCACACACACACCATTCTGATCTCTCAGGGCCCCTGGGCAGAGCCCCCAAAATCTGAGAACTGGACAGCCCCTCAGACATGACTGTGCTCATGGGAGCACCCCTGAACCTGGGCAGGCCACCCTGGGCCCGCTCCCTGGGCCCCGTCACTCATCCTGCACCATGGTCCCCAAGGAGGACAGGCCCTGTGCCTCACACACCGTAGAGAGTCTATGAATGACTTCTGGGCAGTTGTAGAAGCTATTACAGTATCAGCGGTCCTAATGGTACGCAGCTGAGCTTTTTAAGTTCTTGACTCTTGGCACTGTGACTTGCTCATCTCTTCTGTCACTCGAGCAGGCCAGAGCATGGAGGTGGTCTGAGATGAGGAGGAGCGGGGTCTACTTCTCCTCCACTGGGAAAACGGTTCCAGAGCCCCCTCTACTCTGCTTCTGGTCCGAGGTGCCAGTTTCTCTGTCAGCCCACCGCCTACATGGGGGACGGGGAGGAGGAGGAGGACGGAGGGAACCCTCCAGCCCTGGGCCCTGGGCCCAGGGTGTCCTCTCAGAGCCCGCCCACCAGTCCAGTCCCATCCTCCCCCACAGCCCCAGTGCAGCTCTGCCCCCCCCCGGGGGCTGCCCCTGGGCTGCACCAGCTGGAAACATCTCCAGAACAGAACGAAGGGTATGTGACTCGAGCACTGGGTTCTTCTGGGGCCCAGCCAACAGGGAGGGAGAAGCAATCCGTCCACCCTTCCCAGATCCTGGC